CTGTAAAGATGGTTAAAATAAAACATGTTACATATTAACAGCTGTTTTATCAAAATTCAAGAAGACAAAGACTTTTAAAAATAGTTATCAAAACATGTACATGTACTGCTTCTGTATGGGAACTGCTCGCATGCCAGTAGACTTACACAGATACATGACACATTGTAAGCATAACTTACAGTTTATTAAACTATCTTTTAATGTCATCATTTATATCATTTTTCTGACTTCTGAACATAAATCTAGTACATGTATTTTCTGATCAAATTCTGACATTATTTCCATATTTTCTTAAAGATAAGCAAGTTTCATTTTCCTTTTGTGCTTTAGTTTATTATCCATAATGTTGATAATTATAAACTGTGAACTGTTTTTTTTTTGTTTTTTTTTTTTTTTAATTTAAAAGAATCAGATTTTTTTAATCTACTTTAAAACAAAATTTCCATCCACATGTTTGTAGGTAAATTTGTTTACTGCAGATCTTGTCTAATAGTACAATAGGATTTCTTACATAACTAGTTTCAAATAATAATAATAATAATAATAATAATATAATAATAATAATAATAACAATAATCAATAATAATGTCTTTTTTTTAACAAGAGGGCCATGATGGCCATAAAGTTCGCAGTTTAAACCTCAGGGCTTTTATTTGAACAAACTTGGAAGACATTCATTAGAAGATGTTTCACAATGTTAAGCTTTTACAACTCTACACACATGTAAATGAAAAACAATGATACCATACCCCCTGTAAGCTCTAGTTCATTGGGTTTTTTAAAGAAGATTTTGTAAGTTTTTACTACACACATATAGTTAAAAACAGTGACACCCCTGGGACGTGGGGCCAGTTTTGACCCCGGGCTTTTATTTGAACAAACTTTGTAGAACACTTATTAGAAGATGTTTCAAGCCTAATATCTAACTCTACGCTATTTGGTTTTTTTAAAAGAAGACTTTTTTTAAGTTTGTTACTATATGCATATATAAGGAAAAATCAAGACCCGGCCCCCGGGCGGGGCCAATTTTGACCACAGGACTATTTATTTGAACAAACTTTGTAGACACTCACTAGAAAGATGTTTCACATGCTTAATATCTAAACTCTAGCTAAATTTGGGTTTTTTTTTTTCCAAAGAAGATTATTGTTTTAAGTTTTGTGCTATAGACACATATAAGGAAATCAATGACCCCCTGGGCGGGGCCAATTTTGACCCCAGGGCTTTTTTATTTGAAAAAACATAAGTAGACACACATTAGAAGATGTTTCCTGCTGAATATCTTAGCTCTAGCTCTTTGATTCTTTAAAGAAGATTTTGTAAGTTTTTACTATGCATATATAGAGAAAATCCCCTGGGGCGGGGGCCAATTTTTTGACCCCAGGGCTTTTTTTTTGAACAAACATTGGTACAACACACTCATTAGAAGATGTTTAATGCTGAATATCTTAGCTCTAGCTCTTTGGGTTCTTTTAAAAGAAGAATTTTTTTTAAGTTTTTACAAAATATGCATATAGGGGAAAGATCATGCCCCCTGGGGCGGGGCCAATTTTTGACCCCAGGGATTTTTTTGAACAAACTTGGTACACACTCATTAAGAAGAAAATTGTTTCAATGCTTATCCTAGCTCTAGCTCTTTCGGGTTCTTTAAAGAAGAATTTTTAAGTTTTTACTATATGCATATAGGGAAAAATCAATGACCCCCTGGGGCGGGCCAATTTTGACCCCAGGGCTTTTATTTGAACAAACTTGGTACACACTCATTAGAAGATGTTCATGCTGAATATCTTAGCTCTAGCTCTTTGGGTTCTTTAAAAGAATAATTTTTAAGTTTTTACTATAATGCATTATAGGGAAAATCAATGACCCCCTGGGGCGGGGCCAATTTTGACCCCAGGGATTTTTTTTTGAAACAAACTTGGTAGACACTCACTAGAAGATGTTCCATGCCAAATATCTAAGCTCTAGCTCTTAGGGTTTTTTAAAAGAAGATATTTAAAGTTTTTTCTTTCGGTTGCCATGGCAACCAGAGTTCTGCATGGAATTAAAAAAATTCTTTGAAATTTTTTAAAAGGTGACCACCTAAGGAAACATTCCTGTGAAGTTTGGATGAAATTGGCTTAGTGGTTTTATGAGGAGATGTCATTTAAATAAAAGTTTACGGACGGACGGACGCCGGCCGGACGCCGGACGAAAAGCGATCACAAAAGCTCACCCTGTCACTTTGTGACAGGTGAGCTAAAAAGGCTACACAGTTGCAACAAAGGCAATCTACCCTGTGGGCCTCATAAAATGTACATATTTACAATCATATAGTTGTGAATAACATGAATTATTATGCAGAAGCATTAACAAAATTATTATTTTGATATTGCAAATAGAAAATAATGATAATAATTTTATAAAGTGCACAAAAATATACAGTGAAACAAAGCATTTCAAAATTACAAATAAACCTTTGACAATAACAATATTTCAATTAGAGCAGTGTTTTTCTTATAATTTTATATTTGATTTGTTTTTTTCCAATTTTCTATGTATTTATGTTTAAAGTTTTGAAATGATTGTGCAGAGCGTATGCTAATTGGTATTTCATTCCAAATTTTTGATCCTGAATAGTTAAAACTTTTTTCTGAAAAATTCTACTTTTGGTTTAGGTTGGCATATGTTATGTTTTGAACATAGGGTGGGAGAATGAATAGTAAGGTTGAAGGTAAATTTTTGTTTAATTAATTGTTCAATTAAAAATTGATTAGGTCATGCAGCTTAATTAAATATTCAAATATAAATTAAATGCGTCTTTGTTTTTTCTCTCATTTCCACTCTTACATAAGGAAGTTCATGGAAAACAAAATAAAACCACAAATCAGACTAAAGTTAATGTGATGCAATCAGTAAGTACAAAAATATACATCAAATTTACAGGTTCATTTTAGTTCTCATTCTGTCTTGAAATGTTTGAATAGAGCAATGATAATGCACAAAAGAAACTGTAAATGAAAATAAAACGTCACTGTGTATCAATAAAATCAGACAGTTTTTTTATGCATATGGATGTACATCATGCAAGATTAGTTTTTAAATCTTTGTACGAGACCAAATAATATCCAGTAACAAATTAAAAACATGCAGCATTTGTCATTCAATCTCCTCAATATATACTATGCAGAGGTAGAGGTAGCTTTGTACTTCAAAAGTACAAAAATTTGAGCCAACCTGTATTTTCAAGTATTATAAAAGGGCAATTCTTAGCTCATTTTCATTGTTGCTGATTAATTGCACAATATAAATGATTATTGTGGAAAAATAGGTGAGGGATCGGTCTGAAAATTTGCACACAAGCTTTAAATGGAGTCTTTTTCATAGTCATTTTGCAATACTATACACATAAGGAAAATCAATGACCCTTGGACGGGCCAATTTTAACCCCCAGGGCCCTTATTTGAACAAACTTGGTAGACACTCATTAGAAGATGTTTCATGCTCAATATCTTAGCTCTAGCTCTTTGGGTTTTTTTCAAAGAAGACTTTTTTAGTTTTTACTGTATACATAGTAAACATAGGGAAAAACAATGACCCTCTGAGTCAGGACAAATTTTGACACTAGGGCTTTTATTTTGTACAAAACTTGGAAGACACCAAATAGAAGATTTTCATATCTAATATCTAAGCTCTAGCCATTTTGGTTTTTTTAAAAGAAGTTTTTTTAAGTTTTCATCAACTATATACATATAGGGTAAACAATGACCCCCTGAGGTGGGGCCAATTTTGACCCAAGGGCTTTTATTTGAACAAACTTGGTAGACTCTGACTAGATGATGTTTCATGCCAAATATTTCAGCTCTAGCTCTTTCTGTTTTTTTAAAAGAAGATTTTTAAGTTTTTTTTCTTTTGGTTGCCATGGTAACCAGAGTTCTGCATGGAACTTAATTCTTTGAACAATTCACTACCAAAGGTACGTACCATTCCTGTGAAGTTTGTATGAAATTGGCTTAGCAAATTATGAGGAGATGTTGTTTGAAGTAAAAGTTTACGGACAGATGCCGGACGAAAAAACGATCACAAAAGCTCACCATGTCACTTTGTGGCAGGTAAGCAGCACTGAACTTTTCATTATAAATTAAGTAATGCTTCTAAATTACAGCTGCTACAAGGAAAACATATAATATATGACTTACTTATTAAAGGGACTCCACTGAGGTATTTTGACATGATGGGACTGGAAATATTTTTTTGAGAATATTACTCCATTTGATGTAGATCTAAACTAATAACTTGTGTGCAAAATTTCAGATCATTAGCTTGCTCTGTTTTTCTAGAATAATTATTATAATAGTGAAAAATGATCCAAAATTGAAAAGCGTTGAAACGCTTTTCATTCGAATTGAACTAGCACAAACATGATTTTCAATGTATTTCTTGTGTATTTCTTGGTTATATTTTATTAATATTTCTGTTTCAAGTGCTCATGTAAATATCTATGTGAAAAAAATAAAATTTTATGTTTTTAAGCTTATAAACCTCAGTGGAGTTCCTTTAAATGATAGCAATAGTACCTTACAGAAATTTACTGTAAATAAACAGCTTAAGTTTAAGTTATGAATCTACTCTTATACTGATAAATTTATTTCAGTTATGAAAAGCTCTGTTAATCTTTCTCAAAACATGAAAACTGTATCCACTTCCTTGAAATTATATATTATAACTTAAACACTATCATGAAGATTTACAACATAGTATAACATTTTTGCAAATTACCTAAATTACCTATTTACAGTTGAACTTTGTCAGCTTGTCCTTGAATCGCTTGAATACCTCCCTTGGCTCGACCTCATTGCCCAGCCTTTGCCAACTTCCTATGTTATATATATTGTTGTACCTTGGATCGCTAGAACACAGATTGCTGGAACACTCGAACCTGATCGCTGGTCACTTCTGCAGAAGTGAAACAGTACTTTGTAAAAATTCATGCATTTTCAAATCAAATATTGCTTTTACCCCATTCTGTTACTGACAGAAGAGATCACCATCATTCCAACACAAACTTCTGTCTGAAAAATGCCATCTGAAACTGTAATAATACTAAATAAAGAAATGGGTTAATACAGAATCAGATGATTTAAAGAAATACCACAAAAGAAAAATGACTTGAAACCTGAAAGCCCTGCAAATTATCCGATTATATAAATATTTGAATATTGTTTACTGGGTTCAAAACAGACAACACGTAATTTCTAATGTCTGGACAGATAAAAATTCTTATCAACAGTTAATAAATTCAATTAATCTCTCCCGTTATTTAAATGTGATAAATTCTTACCTGTACTTTCTTCACATTTCATAATAACATGGATTATAAAATCTGTCTGGATAGCTGGTCAAGGGATCAAAATATGAGTTGTCTCCCTTCCACTGATTACATATGTAACTTCTCAATCCTGAAGTCAAGAAATAGATTATGTACACATATTTTTTACATATTTTTTATACTTTGATATAATCTTGTAAGGGATTTGTTTCATGTAACATCTTTAATGATAAAATAAAAGGAAGAGTTGTAATTATATATTAATGTTAATGACCAGAACCCACAAGCACAATGCTTATAAATGTTCATTTAATCTTTTTTACATTTACATGTAGTATCAAATTTATATATTCACAAATTATTTATAACTGTTCTAAACTAAGTATAACTAAATTTTATGTTCATTTAACTAACTTTCTACAACAATGAAAAACTGATTTCTTCAATAAAAAATAAATTCTTTAAATACAAATAACTTTATACAAATTTAAACATCTACTTATTGGGCCAGCTGGTCAAAAAATCAAAATTTAAGTTGCCTCCCTTGCACTGTAAATAAATATACAAACTTAATCTTGTAAATATAAGTTTTTTGTAAAAGAAAAACAAAAACCAAAAAAATGCTCAACAATAACAACATGACTATATAAACTATATATGGCGCAAGTTTATTTCATCCGTAAAAAATAAAATACATGTAAAATACATGTACATCATTACTCTGTGTATAGTAACTATGAAGTTAAAAGTTGTGTGTGATTTTACAAACTTGCAATAAATTGTGTGCAATTCATTGACTTTACAAAATGGACAGAAATAACAAAACTCTTAACTAGTTCATATTGTGAAGTCAATCTACACATTTCAGTATTCATGTTTTAGTTTATTTTACATACTTACATGGGGCGTCCATGACCGAGTGGTTAAGGTCGTTGACTTCAAACCACTTGCCTCACACCGCTGTGGGTTCGAATCACGAAAATGACTGGATTCTTTCATGTGAGGAAGCTATCCAGCTAGCTTACGGAACTTCGGTGGTTCTACTCAGGTGCCCGTTCGTGCCTGAAATAATGCACTGAAGGGCACCTGAGGTCTTCCTCCACCAGTAAAGCTGGAACATCACCAAATGACCTATACTGTGTTGGTGTGACTTAAACCAAATCAAACAAACAAACATACTTACGTGAACAAGCATACTTGACTAAAGTAGGGTTTTGTAAGCTAAAGTCAGTAGCTATTCCAGTATCTTGGAATAACACTTAAAGGGACTCCACTGAGGTTTAAAAGCCTAAAAACCTAACATTTGAATTTCTTACAAAAAAAAGCTGGGGCATGTCAAACAGACATATATGCAAAGATAGTTAAGAAATATACTTTGAAATAAATTGAAAATCGTACTTTATGCTTTTCTTAGCGTGATTTGAGTGAAAAGCGTTTAAACGCTTTTCATTTTGGGTCATTTTTTTACAATTTGAATAATTATTCTGGAAAAACGAAGTGCGCGAATGATCTGAAATTTTGCACAAAAATTAGTGGTCTAAACCTGCTTCAAATGGTGCATTTATCTGGAAAAAATATGTTCAGTATCGTCATGTCAAAAAACCTCAGTGGAGTCCCTTTAATGCCCCTGGTGAATGAAAAAGCCTGTAGACAAATAAATTTAAACCAACACTTACCATATGCCTGTCACAATTTTACTTTTCTGTTTTGTTTCATAGGCTCTTGTACATGATTTTCTTGTTGCTCTGTTTTCCTTAAAACAACATGGATTTTCCATTTCTTGCTGTTACGTTTGAGAATCCAATTATCTGGAGGTATGAAGACATCAGAAACCCAGCCTGAAATAATTAAAGTCCAATAGCATAAAAATTTATACTTATAATGAAACTCCCAACATGCCATATAATAACTATGCTTATTTTGGTCCACTAATAGTCAACCTCCTGAGCCCATGATGAAACTTAACTGGATGAGAAGTTATAAAACAGAATAAATCAGCCATATTTTGAAAAATTTCCCTTACTTAACTGTAAATATATGTTAATTCTTTTAACTCTGTGTGGAGAGAATCATTGATTTTACAACTTACAGTAATCTCCACTTACAACCATATCACTGATAACAATGTTGTTTTGTTGTCCTACTCTCAACTTTTGGCTTATCAGATATACTTATATCTTATATAAATTCAGAGATCCCTGAATATCATTATAATAGACAAAAGCAACCTTTTTTTGGGGTATTTATTGCAAATAACTCATGTTAAAATTGTTAATTAATTTTTTATTGTAACAATCTTCTTCTGATGGATAGACAGATCATGAACAAGAACCACTATTAGCAGTCATGTTTTGTCATTGTATTTCAGTCATGGTTCACAACTGTTCACTTTTTAGGGGAAAATTGTGTAAGCAGTCAGATAGCTCAGTCGTAAGAGCCAGGGAACAGTATTCTGAGGGTCTCGGGTTCGAGTCCCGTTCAGGCTGCACATTTTTCTCATCCTGTGACAGAATGATTTAAATTTGTTCACTGCAATTAAAGCAAAATTTAAAAACTTTACCATGACAGTCAAGGTCACATTGAGCTCAAATTTAAAGTTTTCAACATGCCAGTTTTGCAGTAAGTTTTAAACTTAACAATTTAAGCAAAATTCAATATGACTTTGATGGTCAAGGTCATTTAAGGTCAAGGTTTTTTTCTAAAAGATATTTTTGGTTGGGATTTATGTCAGGGCCGGCAAAATCTGATTTACACTTACTTGTCTGTTTTTATGTGAATCATTATTTAACTTGTCTGTATGATATTTACATAGTCAATTCTTGAAAATTTTCATTTGTCCGTACAGGCTGAGAGACAACCTGGACAATACCGACAATTGATTTTGCCGGCCCTGTACGTCATATGAGCTACAGATCAATCCTATTAAGTTTCAGAACTTTCACGAAAGGTGATTCATACATCCACCAGCAGGGGAGTCTGTGGCCGAGTGGTAAAGGTGATTGACTTCAAACCACTTGCTTCTCACCACTGTGGGTTCGAATCCCGACAGGAGGAAGCTATCCAGCTAGCTTACGGAACGTCGGTGGTTCTACTCAGGTGCCGGTTCGTGCCTGAACTAATGCACAATCAAACAAACAAACATTAAACAGCATCCTGTTTTGGAAATTAAGGCATAGATCCCTGACCTATCTAATTCTTATTATCAGATTAGTGGATACAATAACAATTTAATCACTACCTATCTGTTAACAAAAGAAAAGAGCACATGTCAATGTATGTGGTTAAATCTATTGTTATTCAAATAAAAGTCAGAGTACGGATCTATCAATAGTCTTAAGCATAATGTGAACTCAACCCATATTTTATAATGTTTTAACAGTATACAAATAATTATTACAATTAATTGCCCATCTTCCAGAAGGCATTTTTCTTTTCTTTAGTGACAATGACCATGACCCAACAACAATCCCAAGCTAGGTCTCTTCATAAGCTTGCTAAATACTGTAACAATATCTCATTCCTAGCAACTTTAATTGTCTACAAAAGATTTTTAAGCAACAGTGAGCTTGATCCAAAGGGGGTCCAAAAGCAATCCCAATTGGGGTCTTCTTATAAGATTGCTTCATAATAAATTTATTTGATCATAATATCTTATTTTATATCTATTATTGCCCAGAAATCATTAATTTTTAGTAACAGTGATCCTTGACCCCATGGGGTCCAAAAACAATCCCAATTGAGGTTTCCAAATACAGTGTTTGATTACAATATCTCTGATTAAAAACTCATTATTATACAGAAACCATTTTCTATTTTTTAGTAAAAGTGACACTGACCTTGATCCAAACACAATCAGAAGCGAGGTCTGAATATAAGGTTGTTACATACCAATTGATTACAATATCTCATTCAAAACTATAGTTATCGTCCGGTAACTAGTGAGAAAGATTGACGGATAAATGGACCAACTCACAAGCTGACTACCATATTCTCCACTAAATTTTGTTTGTGGGGGTATAAAAATCATTGACTCTTAAATAATTCACTAAATTGGAAAATGCCAATATTATGCACAATATGACCTAGTATTGATCATTTCTGTAAAGTTTGGATGAAATTGTACCAGTAGTTTTTGAGTAGTAGTCCGCAAAAGTTTTGTGATGGACAGATGGATAAACGGACAGACAGATGACACAGAATTGTTCCCTATATGTCGTCACTTCTATATATAGGCAATACAATCAAGACGGTCAAGATGGCCCTAGATTGCTCACCTGGCACATCAAACTAGGCAGTTAATTAGACAAGCATCTTGACCAAGTTTGATGACTATTGAATCAAAACAGTAGCCACCAGAGTGTTAACAATATTTTTCTATTTTTAGTTCCTGTGACCTTGTTTTTCATCCGAAAAGACCCATGTTCATACTCATCTGAGCAATTACCTAGACAAGCATTCTGCCAAAGTTTGATGATGATTGAGGCAAAATGTGACCACAAGAGTGTTAACACACAAATGTGGACAGAAGACGGACGGCAGACAACGGACATTCAACAATCCTAAAAGCTGAACCTGTCAGCTAGCTCAGGTGAGCTAAAAAGTCATGACAATTAAAACAAAATTTGCAGTTTTGACCTTTAGTACCAAAGCCAAATAAAAAGGTAATGGTCAAATTCATAAATCTTATCCAAGTATGAAGACAATCCCTTTAGTATTCATAAAATAATGTGCAATGTGTAGTGTATGTACTGCACGGCAACAACAACACAACTGTAGCAATAGTGCAAATTTTTTTCTTTAAAAAAAAGTGACGCTAGTACAAATCAAAAAGGATTTTAAATTAATTTTTTAATTTTAATTAAAGTTCTGATTCAGTGTAATTTTAATTAAGAATTAAGAACTTACATAACTAACATTCACTTCCTTTGGGGTTCTTAATTGTTAAAAGTGTACTCACTGGACACTTACATGTACTTACAGTGCCAACATAATAATTATTTCAACAAAGGCTGCCTTTTGGATGACATTCTTTTCCTATTTTCATCCAAGACTGTAAGTGTTCACTGGTCATCAGATTGTCTCCACTTTGTGCTTTACCCAACATGTATATGCAAGTATAATTCACCCTAATGTGGCCGCCTGGTCAAAGAATCCAAAATAGGGTTGTCTCCCTTGCATTGTTAAGGAACCTTTTCACTATGAAAAGAAATTATGTAGTATATGTAACATATAATGCATAACATTGGTAATAAATATTTGTGTTAAAAGAATCCATCAATAAATGATGAAGTGCACATTTCCTTTGAGGCTTAATAAGTTATGATACTAAATAACCTCAAGGGTGGGGGCGTTTATTTAGGGTGGGGGCATGATTCATAAAACTTTTCAATATAGAGGTTTACTAGGCAATGATATGTGCCAAACATAGAAGCTCTGGGTATTGTTGTTAACCACAAAAAGATGTGTTTTTCTACATAAAGGAAGTGACTGCCAAGGAAGGACCAATTTTTACCGAAGGGTCATTTTTAACTTTTGTAGAAATCTACAATCGAACAGTTGCTACATGCCAAATATTGCTTGTCGCCCATAGGGGGGTGGCGAGAAAGCGAAACAAAGTTTTTGTGCTATAATAGAGCATAATACATCCAGGGGTCTCGTACTCTCAAAAAACTAGAAATGTGTCCATAGGACACGGATGCCCCCACATGCCACTGTTATGTCAATCTTATGACTCTAGGTCAAATATATTTTGGACTACAAGTGCCACAAGTTGAAAACTAAAAATAAACAAAGGGCCATACTTCTGTTAAATTTGGTCGCAGCAAAAATTCCTTCCTTAACTACCATCTACACATTAAGGTTGCTCATCCCTGGAAGTTTAAGCAAAATCTGCCATCCGGTTTAAGAGGAGTTGCGTTCACAAAATTTCTATATGGTATATAGTGAAAAAATCAACAAAGGGCCATAATTCTGTTAAATTTGGTCGCAGCAAAATTCCTTCCTTTACTACCATCTACACATTAAGGTTGTTCATCCCTGTAAGTTTAAGCAAAATCTGCCATCCGGTTTAAGAGGAGTTGCATTCACAATATTTCTATATAATATATAGTGAAAAAAATCAACAAAGGGCCATAATTCTATTAAATTTGGTCGCAGCAAAAATTCCTTTCTTTACTACCATCTACACATTAAGGTTGTTCATCCCTGTAAGTTTAAGCAAAATCTGCCATCTGGTTTAAGAGGAGTTGCGTTCACAAGATTTTGGGACATACGGACGGACGTTTTTTAGCCACGCAAAAGAAAATAGCCACATAAAAGCATTACGGAATGAATGACATCAAAGAGAAAGAACAGTTACCTATTGTCCCTCTAGCCACATAATTACTCTCCTGTGAGTGCGGACAGACGTACGGAAGGACAGACAGACGGACAAGTGCAACGCTATATGCTCCCACTTTGTGGGGGGCATAAAAAATGAAAATGTGGACAAGATACGAAAATCAAATAAAGTTGAAATAAATTCTATAACAATAGATGCAAGCAGGCAACTAGCAAAGACCATTAAAGACTACAAAACTGTGAAAAAAATTAAACTAAAACATAACACTTGTTACATTCATAAGCTTAGAAATTAAGAAAAACAATTAAGAGCGATTAAATTAAGTTTAAAACTTCCGTATGGACAAAAAAAAGGAAATTTTTGTTAGATCTTTAGCGAAGTCTGTGAGAGCAGGATAATGTGTCTGTCTGGAGTTGCAAAAAGCAAGGTCACAAAGTACGACGACAATGATTTTCTTTCGAAATGTACCCTTGCTTTCTAAAACATTATTCCATGCTTCTCGAATAATCACTCATCGTGTTGTACAAAATCAACAGTGTGTCAACACCATATGGCCATTCTTGATAAATACAACACAAATCATCTACCATATAGAAAACATTTACATCTTAATAAACAAGATAAAGAAACCATAAAAGCAACTATACTTAAAATTTTAGATGTGAACAAGAGCTGTCACAGGAGACAGCGAAGCTCGACTAATAAAATGCTGGACGCAGTAAGGAGGACAAAACTATGAAAGAAAAATCAATTATGTATAATTAAGTATTAAGTTATATTAGTAAAAATATAACATTTGTTAACATCAATTCCAAGATCAAGGGGAATAATTCTAGAAATAGTCATGCAAGAGTTATGGACCTTGCCACACAACATTTGTGTAATGATAAGAAATATATATTTGAAGTTTGAAAGTAGATATCTTAAAAAATAAAGAAGTTATTATATTTCTTAAAGAAAATCCTAAGTTCAAAGAGAGATAAATCTGTAAATATTGCTTCAAGAGTTATGAACATTGTCACATAAAATGTAAATGATTATAAGGAATAAGTATTTGAAGTTTGAGGTAGATACCTTTAAAAATAAAAAAGTTAAAATAAAAATAACATTTTTCTAGTAAATAAATCTAAGTTTATGGGGAGATAATTCTTGCAATATTTGGTGCTAGAGTTATGAACCTTGTCACATAAGATGTGGATGATGATAACGTAAATATATTTGAAGTATGAAGTTGATCCCTTTAGAAATGAATAAGTTACAGTAAAAAATAATATTTTGTATGGAAAATTCTAAGTTCAAAGGGAGATAAATCTAAAAATATTGGTGCTAGAGTTATGAACCTTGTCACATAAGATGGGGATGATGATAATGTAAATATATTTGAAGTATGAGGTTGATCCCTTAAGAAATAAAGAAGAAACAGTAAGAAATAGTATTTTTTGAGGAAAATTCTAAGTTCAAGGGAGATAAATCTGAAAATATTGGTGCTAGAGTTATGAACCTTGTCACATAAGATGAGGATGATGATAAGGTACATATATTTGAAGTATGAGGTTGATCCCTTAAGAAATAAAGAAGTATCAGTAAAAAATAGTATTTTTTAAGGAAAATTCTAAGTTCAAGGGGAGATAAATCTGAAAATATTGGTGCTAGAGTTATGAACCTTGTCACTTAAGATGTGGTTGATGATAAGGAACATATATTTGAAGTTTGAAGTTGATACCTTAAGAAATGACAAAGTTATAGTGAAAAATAGTTTACTGCACCAAAACTTTAATCTAAAATCTGGACGCGGACGCGGACGCCGACGCCGACGCCGGGGCGAGTAGGACAGCTCTCCATATACTTCGTATAGTCGAGCTAAAAACCATTTAGGCTATGGCAGAACTTTTCAATATAAATCTATGCGAAAGTTTACATTCTACTGTTTTTAATTATGCCCCTAAATTCACGTGCTGGTCAAGAAATTTTTCAGAGCTCTGTCATTCTACAACACATTCTAGAACTCTTGGCAAAGGTATAGCTGCAGTCAAATTAGCTAATGCCATTAGTATAAACATTAAGAAGAGTTCAAGAATGTTCTTGCAGCTGATAAGAATGGAAACAAAGCAAAATTTAATGTATCATTCTATGCGCCAAAAGACTTCATGAGAAAACGCTTCCAACATCGGACTGAATTTCTGGACTCGCTTTACTCTAAAGTACCCTCAAATCTTAGAAAAGAACACAATTTTGGTGCAAACTGCTGAAAATGTCTGCCATTGATCAGAAAGTAATTGACTCAAAACTTCAGTGGCCTTGCATAGAAAACAAAACCTTGCAACTTTCTAGTTACCTTACAAAATACATCCCTTGTACCCATGGTGGCCAACACATTCACCAGAATTTTTACAAACCATTCTATTATTATTTACAATGAGTGGCTCATAAGACAAATAATTACAATTTATGCACATTTTTACATGGCAAATACCAATTTCTTGAAAAAAATCTAAGTTCAAGGGGGACATAATTCTGGAAATAGTCTTGCTAGAGTATTTAACCTTCTCAAAAATGTTTAGTGATAATAAGAAACATAAATATGAAATTTGAAGTAGGTACATTAAGAATAAAAAAGTTATTTAAAAAAGACAACATTTTTTCATAAAAATTCTAAGTTCAAGGGAGGTAATTCTGATATTTTTTGTGCTAGAGTTGTAAACCTTGTCACATATGATGTGGTTGATGACCAGAAACTTATATTTAAAGTTTGAAGTGAACACCTTAAGAAATCAAGAACTTATGGTGAAAAAGCTTAAAAATTCAAATCAGAAATCTTGAAATTCAGTCTATTTATTGCCATAGCAACCAGAATGTTCAACAGAGGAAGAAAAGAAAAAGATGTGCATAATCTCCAGACTGCCATTTACCCATATTTTAAGTTTCATGAAAATATTTTCAGCACTTTTTGAGTAATCGCTGGATCCAGTTTATGTGTTAAATTTGCCATATTTTCAGACTATTTGTTGCCATAGAAACCAGAATTTTCAAAATAGGAAGAAAAGAAAAAGACATGCATAATCTCCATACTGCCATCTATCCATATATCAAGTTTCATTAAAAATGTTTTCAGTACTTTTTGCGTTATCGCGGGATCCAGTTTTGTGGACGGACGGACTGACGGATAGACAGATAGAAAGACAGACGGAGGGTAAACCTAAAGTCCCCTCTGGTTAAACCGGTAGGGGACTAATTAAATTTATTGTTTATTATAAGATCCTTTTCCACCAGTTATTTCATCAAGTATTATGAAAACAAAACTTACAAGTTTGTAATTTACAGCAAAATTTACAGTGGTTGATGTAACATTTTGAACACAAAAAAAATGATTTCATGAATAAACAATTTGAAATCGAATTGTTGATGTGAATTGTGATTTTTTTCTGCATATTTCTGTTGAAATTTTAGCATTTTTACAGGATGAAAGGCCAATATGTGACGGTAGATTTTGGGGAAAAAAAACAAACGGAAACATGCAGACATGTACAGTACTACTGTAAACAATATTCTGCTTACAAAATAGCCGTCAAAAAGATGGATTTTAATTTTCAAAAACATGAGTTTTCATTTTTTTCCTTTAACACTTTAAATGTTTTGAGGAGGAATTTTTACATCTCTATGGGGGAAAAACATACTATTTTTTATTTTTTTATTTTTAATTTATGATTTTATAATTTTCAGACATTTATTTAGTTAACAAACAGTGTTTTTTACACCAAAATATTATGCGAAAATCGGCCCCTGATTCCCCCGCTCAAAAATTTAAATTGTATGTTTTTTCCCCTCTCAAAGCCGAAATTTCCCCCCATATGGCAGCCAAAATTTGCATGCAATGAATAACATTTTTTTTGCATAT